TTTACCTGGTCTTTACAACACGCTGATAACCTGTTGGCTTGATAAATAGACGATTTGTTGACGTTTACATTATTAAATTAAACAAATATAAATAAAACGCTTTGTATTTTCTTGTACGTGTTGAAGAGCCTTTTTACATGAGCAATGAAGTTTATTATGCCGCATTCGTGTTACAATGTTAAAATTTACTACGGAGAAATGTGAGAGTCTGACCAGCTTATGTCTACAGGTGACTTGATCACTTTTAAATGATGTGTGTAAGCATTAACTGCTTACATTTCCTTTCATTTTTACCTGTTTTAAAGACTGTTTGCAAGCCAAAATAACTTGTACTAGTTTTCTAATGTCTTGCTCTATCTTTACTGCACATAGTAACAATTTGTGCATAAGACAAGATAATGTAAGTATTGTATACATACGCCTATTGTTTATAATTAAATATACGTGTGTTGCTGCACATACATTTTTGCATCGTTGCTTCAATTTTACTGGGAAAAAAACCTACAAAAACAACAACAACAATAAAAAACAATTAGACTCTTTCTTGAACCATTCGATAAATATTTAAACATATTGCAACTGGCAACTGCAATTACATGTAATTTCATCGTAAGAAAGATAGTGTAATTATGTCCATCCAATTGTAAATAAATGGTCAGTGAAGAGGTAAAAATATAAAAAAAAGTTCATATTTTACCATATAAATATTGTTACATTATATAGTTTACTATGAAAATCATTATAAATTTGATAGTTTACTATAAAAAAAAATCTTAAAACCACGTGACCAACGGCATTTTTTATAAATAACGTTCAGAATGAGTCGTTAACGCTCAAGTCAGTATTTTTATGATTTAGGTAGCTTTTTTATATTGATAAACATTTTCCTTTATCAATGACTGGTCAATCAAATTTATAATAGCCAATCTTTTGAATAATACTAATTCAACTTAACAACAACAACAAAATGTCACTTTAAACAATCCCCACATATCCTACACTGATCATTTAATAAAAAACAAAATTGCTTTAATATAATGAATAGTATAAATAACATAACGTAACTTTAAATTTCAGAATGGTTTCATCGTAAATGAGCCGTGTAACAACAAAACCAACATAATGGGTTTGCGAACAGTATTTCTATAAATAAGTTATACACAGTTAAATGAGACTTTGTTTTTGTTTGTTTGTTTTTGTTTTTTTGTTGTTTTTTTTTTTTGTTTTGTTTTTTTGTTTTTTTTTGGTTATTGTTTTTTTAAAAAGCTTTATTTTAAATATTTATATAAAACAGTAGGTAAATTGATTGTATGTATATTTCTATATATATACTAGTATACTATAGTACATACATATGCACGTCGTGAGTTAGATACGAAAAAAACTGCTCTTTACATATTTTCTTTTCCAAATCTATGTTCGTTATCAAATGCACATACCAAAAATATCACAGCACTAATAACAAATTACCCAATACGTCGTCTTAATCACAGAGCAGAAACTTGGCATTAAACTTTCAGCAGTCAAATTACAGCCCTATCAGTATCAGTTAATTGCCATGTATGACATTTCATTATCGAAGCAGCAATCTCCCATTTGTGCAAATAAAAGTGAAATAAAAGTTTCCCTTAATTGTTGGTATGACCTAGTATGCTTATTGTGACTTCACACGAAATTTCTCAATAAAGTCGCCATACTATGAGGGCGACAGGCATCACTTTGGTTTACTAACCATACAGCAAAGTTCTGAGAATCTATGGAAAGCCGTTGTCATCATAGTTAAAGACAAATTCAAGTATCAAGTAAAAAAAATCTATTAAAAGCAGACTTCGTTAATTTAAATGCAGTGTGACAATGACGAGGCTCAAAGGACCAGTGAAACATGAAACCCCGTTTATACACATGAAACCCTCCATTTACTGAGAGGATTTTTTTTAAACAAAGAGAAACAAAATCCCAGGAATCATTGCAATCATTAATGAAACTCACTACTTAAAACATCAAAATGTCACAATTAAATAAAAAAAATAATAGACCTCCATCAATTGGTGGTGTTTGACCTAAGATCACATGACAATTTTATAACATATTCATATAGTATTTTTAAAAAAATGTTTTTAAAATGGCATGCATTTTACCAATCGTTAAAATTGACAAACTGTGTTATGAGATTCTACAGAGCGAACTGGGGACTTGATATTGTTTGGCACGCTACTTTGATTACTATAATAGTTGATATTTACATGTATATATACCGGCTTTTAGTATATATTAGTGTTCATCCGGGCTGTTCTACAGAAAGTAGAAACTTTGACAGGAGCGGTAGAGACCGGCCGGGGAATGTTTCTAATTTCTGTAGAACAGCTACGGATGACCACTAACATACTTAGTATCAAGCTTTATTTTGCTTCAATAATATTCACTTTATTGCGTCACTTCCTGTCTATTTTTACGAACGCGGTTCTATGAAAAGAAGTCTACTGTGAACAAGTATCAACTTTTGTTCTTCTATGAAAATCAACGCACAGAATTTTATGAAAAATCCAGCGTTTTCATTGGATGACGAATAAAGCTGGACACTAAACATTATCGACTGGTGTTAAGGCTACAAAAGCTAAATAAATATCAATATGATGTTTTATTAGCATAGCATATTAATAACTATGATAAAAGTCTTGATTTCGGTTGCTTAGTGTAGGATAACAATTATTTACTTTATTCTACTTTGTAATAGTTATCTAGATTAATAAATACTAATCAAATGACGCCATACATTAAAATATGAAATAAAACATTAATCTGTCGGTCATATTTAAGGATTACGAACCGTAATGAATCCGTAAATATTGACATATTTCGGTTATTATTGTAATTAACTTCTAGCCGTTATCGCTTTCTCTCAATATTGTTCACATTGCCTATCTTTATTGCCACATAAAATGGCATTTTCCATTGTGAAGTCATTATTGAAATAATATTTAAAAAAAATCAATATAGCGGCTCCCATACCAGTGGCGATAAGGGTCTGTAATCCTTAATATTATGTCGTTATTATACATTTTTGAGTACAATACTGAAATCTATTGTACGAGAACACAGCTATCAAGTCTATATTGGATGAAACGCTAACCGAGTCTGATAAAGGTACGAGTGTCTGCTTTGTTCCTTTACAAGACACGAAGGACACAGAATTTAGGAATGTTCACGAGTTGACATATAAAATTGACATATATAGTCTTATCAGTCAAATATGATAATTTTATGCTTCTGATTATGTAATGAACGTATTTCATGGAGTGCAAATTTTTATTCAAACAATTTGGTAACTTACAAGTGTCTCTTCTATAAAAAAGATAAATCTATCAGGATAGTCATTACTGACACATGACATTAGAAGAGAATGCTTCTTTAAAGATGCTGAATCAGCAAATTTACTTTTTATCTATTTTCCCCGATTATGATCTTTATCCTGGACAATAATTTCTTTTATTACTTAAGCCGGTGCTTGGGTGCTTGAATGATGTTGCACTTTTTATTACCTCTCATACTAGTCTCTGACTTACACTTTGTCCTTTAGGTTCTTTGGTATGCCTTTCCAAAATTATTTACTTTCTGTCACTTAATTTTAAAAATTACAAATCAGTCTACGACTATAACACTTTTTAATTTTAGTTTATTCGGTCTACCCTTCCAGAATTCTTTACTTTCTATCGCTGAATTTTCAAAATTTAAATTGAAGAGGTAAATCAAATGTTTTAATGGTTTTCGCATAAACTTCTTACGAGATCAAAGCAATCACGGATACATCTTTTTACAAGATTAAATGAGTACATTCTGTTGCTGATAGGGTGATGATGTTACAGTTAAATCTGTTCTCAGCTTTTGATTGTAAGCCAGAAATACATGCTGACAATATGTTCTCTATGTGTATTTTGTCAGTTACCTGGTTACAACAAGTAGATAACCTGCTGGCCTGATTTGTTAGATGTATTTTCAGTCTCGCATCATAATATATATCATTTATAATATGAGCCGCGCCACGACAAAACCAACGTAATGCGTTTGCGACCAGCATGGATCCAGACCAGCTTACCAACCCTATTACAAGTAGAGAAACTGATAGCAAACAGCATGGATCCTGATCAGACTGCGCGGATGCGCAGGCTGATCTGGATACATGCTGGTCGCAAACCCATTATGTTGGTTTTGTCGTGACGCGGCTCATTTATAATATGAGGTATATGTTCAAGCTAACGTTTAAAGCTGCATGCCTCCAGGCCCCAGATGAGCAAAATATTTCAAGAAAATCAACCTTCAGGAAAAATGTACTAAGATTTTAAGAGAAGTAAAACTATTCAAAATTCAAGAAATGATTTACGTTATATGAAATAATTTACTGGTTTTGCAGTATTTATCACCATATTTCTCACCCAAAGAAGGCTATCTTCGCATATTCTGACCTATGTTTTTGGTAATTTTCGTAGATTTTAAAATTTGCAATCCATAAATAAGTTTTTTTACGTAACAAGACATTCCTCTTTAATACATTTAAAACAGAACACAATTGGTCATATTCATTTAGTGACCTACTCAATATAGAAAACAATTCACTTTATTTACACCTACATGGACAAAAGAACTCCAATGGATATATTAACATTTAGAACTACAGGCACAAAAAGAACACACATATAAATAAAAACACATTTAGACCTACAAAACACAAACAAAAAAACACAAAAGGACGAAAAACATTAAGACATACAATTACAAAAGAACATATTAAATGGAATTAGAAAAAAACAACATTTAGACCTACAATAAATGGGTACAATATACATAGCACAAAAGAACATAAATGAATATATGAGCATTTAGACATACAAGCACAAAAGAAGACAAATGAATATGACAACATTTCGACATACAAGCACAAAATAACACAAATATTAATGGCGGCTGGTTTAATTTATAAATACAGAAATAAAAGATCCACTCACCTCCTAAGAAATAAATGAGCATAGCTACGAAGTAGCACCGGTATCTTGTCCTGAATTTCCCAGCATTAATTCCTATACAAACAACAACACTTGCACAAAAACACAAAATTAAACCTAATAAACATAGTCCTCGTGATGCCAACATCCAATCTGAAAATATAGAAAATAATTATAATATAATTACTGTTTATAACTAAAAATGAAAAGAATTATATTTAATATACATTTTCAGTCTTACATGTAAATCAATGTAATCGATGAGTTTTCATTAAAATAATACACAAATAAACAAAAATATATGAATTATATTTTAACGTATTATATTTTATTGGTTTAAACATATTTATTTTAGCTCGATTGCGAAACAAGTTCTTGCAACTTATATTAATCACTTTCGAGTCCGCTTCCTGGAACTATCCAGTACTGGTGTCATATGAAGAAACATTGTCGTGACCCGAGTAGAGCACGAACGCACGATCTCTGGGTTGAAAGGCTGACACTTGAAATAAATAATGAAAATGAATAATGGAATAATGGAAAGATCATCATGCATTGTAACTTATTAAAAATAATAATAATTAACAATAATTGAATTGTTGATGAAGTCTAATGGACTAGAGTTTAATGTAATTTTCATAACATTCTGCTTGATTTTTTTCTTTGAAAACATATAGATATTGGTTAGGTTTTAGTCGCACCATAACAGTAACGGCCATATTGCGACTTTGTAGTTTAACTGGTGGAGAAGAATCTCCGTTGCCTCTCCCTAGAGTAGAACCACCACATTGAGTAAGCCAGGTAGATACCTTCATCCAAAAGACCCTGGAGGGATTCGAACCTGCAGTGGTAAGGGACAAGTGGTTTGAGGTCAGTGATCTAAACAACTCTGCCACGGACGACCCGCAAATAATTTAAGTAATATCATTTTATACTGAACGTACAGTACTAACAACTCCCAATCTTTATTTCTAAATATTATTTCTTCTTGCATTTATGTTCTCGTTGCAAAATCTAATTATGACATATATTTATGAAATTGATAACCCTTCAACTGAATCAATACAAGTTGAGTACCAAACGTGTTTTGCGGGAAATGAACGTTTTAATTTCCGTACAAGAACGTCCCGATCATACGGGATATATCCGGAGTATGTTTAGTGAGACAAAACATTCCTGGTTTAATATCCGGTTGACTAATGGAGTGTAATATTAACATAAAACTGATAATTTTGACACGTTTGAAATACTAATGATCCGTGGAAGTCGGACATAAATTGCAGAACATTTTTGGAATGGCTTTCTTGGGAAAGAACGCGTGTTTTGCAGGATTTGGCATCTGCTTTCCAAAAATTTCTTGAATATCGAGTTTGCCATTCACTAACTGTACTGTTGGATATTAAGGAAATAAGTTTTTTTGTAGTTTCTGCTACCACATCTTTTATTTACTAAATTAAATTTACTAAACTTAAAATGAAATTTATTGCGTTCTCTTTTTTGTTTTAATCCAAAGTTTCAACTTATCTATAACTTAACTAACCTTGGTGGTCTCATCTGTTTGCCACACGATAATTGTTAGAATTCTTTTCATTTATTGGTTTCTTTATCTATCTATTTGAGCTTTTCAACTTGAGATCATGTAAACATTTCAATTTTTGATAAACATATCTGATAAAGAAATATTTCATTTTTTTATTCGTGCCAATACTTTTTTAAAATTTATTTTAATGTTGAACTTAAAGTGACAATACTCGGGAACATTAGAAATAAGGAGAACGTTTCGCAATAAGGAACGTTTTAATGCCGGATCGAGAAGCACTATTCCAAAGTAAAAGCTATACTAGTTATTCATGCGTGCTCATATAATTATGAATATCAACAGAAACAGGTTTTCCACAAAAACCGGTGTTGGAACTAGTATTATTACTGGTATAATATATTCATTTTGCGCTGCTATAGCTTATCATTGATGCAAAAAAACAAAGAAAAACATCAAAAGGTTGGTGTGTCAATTATAAAACAAATGTGCTTTGTCTGTTTGATTGGGTTTTGCGTCACACCGACACAGTATAGATCAAGCTTTACTGGTGGAGGAAGACCTCAGGCGCCCTTCTGTGCATTATTTCAAGCACGAACGAGCACTTGAGTAGAACCACCGACGTTCCGTAAGCTAGCTGGATAGTTTCCTCATATGCGAACCCAGAGCAGTGATGGGCAAGCGACTTTTACAACTCGACCACGGACGCCCCTAAGCAAATGTGCAATCAAGAGTCTAAGTATTTACCTGGCGGTTCTTCATTTGGAAAACAGTCTATCCTACCGGGTGTTACGATTACACATTCTTCCCATAAGCCCATTCTGACATCTCCTAAGTGTACCCATGTCGAGGCTCCAATGAACATTGTCATTACAATAAGGTTAATGAATCCAAGTAAAAGGGCGACAACCTGTTCAAAATAAAATATTAAAACAACATTAATATCAAATTAAGTAAACGATTCAGAAGCATTCCATCCATAAGAGTTAAGTCGACAGGCAAATCAAATAGGGTATGAAAATGTTTATAGTTTAAGTTTAGGGGAAATGGAATAACCATTAACCATATAAATACAAGGCACTAGTCGGCTTGTTCCCTTCAACAGACTGTGTTCTTGTATATCTTCGAAACAAAACAAACAAGATTTTAGTTTGCTATACCATATGATATCAACGTCTACATGTGGATAATAATGCAAGCAAATTAGCTAATATAGTGTCTGGGAGGTAGGATGTATGACCTTTGTGAAAGAAATTGTATACAATGCACCACAGACACTTGGGGTGTGGAGCTCAAAACGCCTTTAAAATCCAAATAAAATGCATATCTGTCAATCCCAGCACATGATCATATATATCAAAAAACTCAATATAAGCCGTTTTGAAAAAAAAATCATAATTGTGTTGAAATATGTTTTTTTTTCAAAACGGCTTTATATATTAAGTGTTTTATATATATGAACAGTACATGTCCTGGGATTGACAAATATGCATTTTATTTGGATTTTAAAGGCGTTTTGAGCTCCACACCCCAAGTGTCTGTGCAATGCACTTGATGCAAATATTCCATCCCCAAATTTCGTAACCACAAGCCAGTGCGTTTTTGTTGTTGTTTTGTTTTGTCTTGCTAGCTTCTCTAGCACTTTGTTTAAAGGCCTCAGAATCAGAAACATATATCGTTCTTTAGAAACGGAAAATATGAAATTTAAAACGTTTAAATAATCGGTTAAGAGCATGTTAGATGCATTTTCCAAAAGAAAGTAACGCTGAATGTCAAATTATTTGTCATAAAAGTAGCCAAATAATTATAAAAGAAGTAGTATTTTGACTTCCATACAAAATACTAACACAGTATAAATATACTTATTGCGAAAAGGTATTAGAAGCAAAAGATGGTTAAGATAATTGGCCAATTACTAACTGTTTGAAAACTATTACATAATATCAAAAATGAAAAGCTTTTGAGAAATAAAATTTAGCTTGCACTTCTGTGGCATAATGGGCCTTTGATTTACGATAAAGTAAACGTCTCTATTGGAAATCTTTCTTCTTTTGGTTCATTAACCATGATATACTTGACGATTTGAAGAAAAAAATAAAGATGAAAAAGAAGAAGAAGAAGAAGAAAGAAGGCCTCCTAGTAGAAAAAATAATAAATTATACTAAAAAGAAAAAGTTTCTTGCAACACACGGTGTCTTATTTTTCAGAACAGTCAATTAGTAGCAAACGATAATAATTCCAGCATTCTGGTTGTATGTCTGTTGTAATTAATCATCGTAAATGTGCTACAGACGACAAAATGTAGATATTTATCACCGTCTGTCGGAAACCAATCACCGGGAAACTGTCGGAAAAAAATCATAATATAGCTGATTCATGACATGTACATTGTACATGTACTTGATATTCTTGTGGTCTGGTAAAAGATTTGGCGTTTACTCGTTTCTAATGCTTTGCTAGATGTTGACAGTATTATTCCTAACTTGTTTATATACCAAGCATATTTATTTTTATTGTCCAAACGTGTTGATATTTTCCGTACATGTTTATCAATCAAAATGCACAAGTCTTAAAAAATCTCGTTTCACTATAAAAGTGCCTTACTAGAAACCAAGCATATCAACATTATAGTAATGAAAGATCTTATTTCCTTATTTCAAATTTTGGTAAGTTCATTGCCCATATCTATGAAGATATTTTGAGCTCTTTAATTCCATTTTTACTTTGCTTTAATAAACATAATTTTCTGACGTATAATTTATATATATTGTCCTAAATATAGCGTGATAACCCACAAATAGATATATAAGTAGCTCACTCAGTTTTCTAGACGTAAGTAGATATATCTTTATTTATCTTTTTTATATATTTTTTTCTCAATTAAAGAAATAATAATACAGCTGTGGAGTTTAATATTAGGTCAGCTATAGTGATTATTTCTTTGAACTGTATATAAATAACTATATACATGTATAGTTATGTTACGTTTATGGAATCTAGGATAAAAGACTGAAAAAAATGTTGCGGTCTTTGTTATTGCTTTTGTTGTTGTTGTTATTAGGAGTAGCAACATTAGTGTTATCATTATTATTCTTGTTTTTATTGTTGGTTTTGTTGTTGCTTTTTTTAAAATTAATTCCTGCTGTTGTCGTTGATGATGATAATGTTGTTGTTGTTGTTGTTGTTAGTGTTACTGTTGATGACGATGCTGTTGTTTTTATTTTTATTCCTGTTGTTGTTGATGATGATGCTGGTGGTGATGATGATGATGATGATGATGATGATGTTCTTTAAAGATACTAAAACTGGTAAAAAAAGCTTTTGTGTATGAAATTCGAACATGAGCAGCTGATATAAAAGACTGACCAGTTTCCGTAGTAACAACGAACAAATACCCAGTGACCATTAGAAACTCAAAACGACACTCACTCAAAAATCAGAACAACACATTCCACTATTTTCGAAGTTTCTACTTTAATACATATTCATCAGAAACGTTGTATTTATTTACATATATTTTACTTGTATAAATATTTCCTTACTTATCTAGATTCTAAATTTTAATTGTTTTTAATGTACTTATTTTTGTTTTGCTTCAATTGACTTTGTACATTTTATTTTTTTAAAGTAACTTTTACATTAAGGCGTTATTTTTCTTTTAGTTTCATTACTCGCTTTTCCTAATTATCGTACATGTAAATATGTATATATTGAGTTTTATCTATATTTTTCTATATTGACTGAGAATACACATTCAGTACGTATGTTACGTACAGTTAGTGCACTTTCCTATGTTTTAAAATGTTGCAAAGCATATAAAACATATAACGTTAATGACTCCGACTTCCCTTCGTGTCGTGCACGTCGCTCGGGGTGCATAGGTCACACAAGATGGGTGACATAGTTAGGTCACTTAGCTGGTGTGACCTAACCAAAGGCGAAGGGTGTGGCTCTACAAAGTGCTGCTGTCTCCAGGAAGAGGTGCCTTTCCTTCTATTGTCATCTGCGTTCAAGATGCGAAGAACTTGGTCCTAGGGAAGATCTCTACGACGAAAGACGGCTTGAGAAGACCTCCGTTGCGGCTCTATGATCAGCGACGTTGAAGGCGATTAAACTAAGTCCTCCGTGGCAGGCTCTACGACCAGCGACGTAACAGAGGCCGATAGTCTTGGACATATTGCATAGCCGGCGCCCAGTATAAATAAAACTAAAATCATCATCATAACGTTATTGATATCTGATTAAAAAAAATAAAGTTTCCTTTTAAAAGGAAAGGCTTGCACAGTTGTGCCTTCATCCAAACCCTTTACAATTGTTTTTATTTTTTATTTTTTTTTTTGGTTTCAATTTATTATCACAATTTTTTTTTGAATTACGGTATTTGTATATCATAAAGGGTTTATTTATTTTATTTTATTTTTTTTATTTTTTTTGAAAACCGAATATTTCTGTCAAAACGATTTGAAATCTATTCTCCATTGTATAAAACTAATAAAGAAAATGATCAATCGTAAAAATACTAACGTGATACTGAAGGAAAACAAGTGTGCACATTTCATTTCCCCTTTTTCACAGCGAAATCATTCCTTTGCTTCATAGACAAGTAATTGCACTAAAATACTTCGTTACGTGGTACCAATTAATAGGCATGTATCAACTATGTTACACGATCACAAATAGACGATGCGCTAGGTGGCAAGGTTAATGATATGCATGGGCTATTTTTAGATTACCTCACCAAGAAGTTGGATCTAAATATAACTCGATCTTTGAAGACGGAATACTACTACAGACTGCAGTCACCATTCTCTATTGTATAAACTAATACAGACAAAAAACAATTATAAAATAAACTTTTGCGTCTTGAAAAACAATTGAAACGGAACAATTTCGTTTATAATTTATTACGGTTTAAACCGATAAATCAAGTAAAAATAGAAATCCTATTTATATAAACAAACTGGGATTACCGAAGTAACTAATATAGCTTAGATTTCCGTAATATTACTTCGTCTGATTCCGCAGTATGACGGAATCGCCCGAATTGTCACGATTGCAATCGGAACTACATCGGCTATTATCATTAATCCAAAGAGTGACGGAAAAGGCCGAAAAGTTGCGATTGGCACGATTGCAGTTGGTTTCCCGTTCAATCATGCACCAACAGATGTAAGCAGGAAACCACCTAACCGGAACAAGTTTTCCATATGAAATGGCTTGCAGCCGTGGCTGCAAGCCAACAATAGAAGTCACGTGATACAATTGAAAACAAAATGGCGGTGTCATATTTCCTGTTCCAGGTGATATTAATCAATCAAATCATCGTATTTATATAAAGAAAACGCTTATCATTATCTCGTTTACAATTTCTCTCAACAGATGTTACTACTTGTTTGTATTAAACCCGACGCGTGTGTTCTCGGTGTCAGCATAATTAATTGATAAGAGAAACGTACATCATGTTGTATATTGATATCATAAATAGAGTACTTTGTGAGCAAAACATGTCATGTTATATTATTTGGGCTTGAAAATTACGTAACATACAAAGGAAGTTTTTTCTTTCTTTAATTTCTTTGGGAATTTTTGTGCAGAAAGTAGCTCTCAAATGGGTAATCAGTCTACTGCTAGCATTCTAAGTTGCTGCTTACACTCTATGTTTCCGTTGACACTCTACGTTACCGCGGACACAATGTTGCTGTTGCAAATGAAACTCTATCTTGCCACAGACACTCTATGTTGCCGCTGACGTTCCATGCTGTCGCTATCACTAAATGTCTCTGCTGACTTTCTATATTGACGCTTACGTTCTATATATTCCCGCTGACACTATGTTGCCTTTGGCACTATGTTGCTGCTGACATTCTATGTTGTCGTTGACAGTTTATGTTGCCGCTGACATTTTATGTT